TTGGATGCTTAATCCACTGAGCCACCCCTGGTGTCCCAGTTTTGTTGATCTTTTTTAAAGGGCCGGCTTTTAGTTTTGATTTTCTCTATTGTTTTTCTGTTCTTTATTGCCCCTCCAAAATTTAAAGCAAACTATAGACTAGACATATCATCTGTAAATAATTTAGTATTATCTCTAAAATATGAAATTAAAATTTTTCATCTTAGATTTTAAATATAAGAATTTTAAACCTACAAAGTAATGCTATTATTATGCCTTAGATTTTGATACTTTAATACCAAATCTAATAAGCATTCAGATGTCTTTGATCATTTCACAATTATTTTTCCAAGTAGCTTGTTCAAGTTGGAATCCAAACAAAATCTACAAGTTGCATTTGGTTGGTATGTCTCTGAGGTTTCTTTAAATCTATAGATTCTTCTTCCTCTCTTTTCTTACTTTTTAGTTGTTGAAGAAACCAGAACAGTTTTCGAGAGTTTCCCTCATTTTTGGTATCATTTTATTTTTAGGAAAATCTTTCTCTTGTATTCCTGTAAGGTGGTATATCTACAGAGTTAGTCAAATTCAAGTTCTCTGGCTTTATTTTGCTTTGTTTGGAAGAATCCTTCTTAAGTGGTACTATGTTCTTTGGGTTGCATCACAACAAGAGGTACTCAATACATATTCATCCCTTTTTGTTATATTAAGATTCATTATTTGCATTCAGGTGTTGTCGTCTTAAACCATCCCTTATAAAGTCCCCTATTAGGCTTCACCTTATGATTTTAGCACCAATTAATAATTGCACCTACATCCATTATTTTATTAGGAGTTGTGAAGTGGTGATACTTCTATTTTATCATTCCTACTGAATTGTGGGACATCTAAAAAAAAAAAAACCTGTTTAGTTACCTGAGGCATATAGTTCATATAGAACAGGCAGGATAAATGTTTGGCTCATGCCTTATTTCCTAAATGTAACCAATGAGGTTTCTTGTTGTTAATATCATTATGTAAGTAAATTTTCAATCATTTTACATTTTACATTTCATGTTTCAATATACTGTGGCAATTTTCCCATGTTAAATTGTCTCACTTTGACTAGAGGTCCTTACTAGGATTACATAATGCTAGTAGTCTTTGATGATTTTCTTGCCTTCTGGTGTAATAAAGCATTTCAGGCTTGTCTAATACATTTCCTCTTCTAGACCTGGAAACAGCCATTCCTCCAAGGAGCTGTGGTTCTTTTCAAGGGAAATGTTATTTAGAGACCATAATTGAGGCACAGACATACTCATTGCTTCTGGTTTGGGTATTAATTCTAAGCCTTTTTAGTGGACTGACCTAGGAAATGCTTTTTTTTTTTTTTAAGATAAAATATATACCGTATATAAACCAATGCTGCCCAATTTGGAGAATTTCTTTTAGATTTTATATATCTAGATTTCTCATCTTCTTTTGCTGGAAATCTTGGTTTCTAACCACATAATATAATTATTTGCTTTTCCCAATAAACATTTATATGTGTGTGTGTGTGTATATGTATATATATATATCAATACCACCATCACTTCTAGCCATGGATAACTGGAGGAAAAGTTTAAACTTTCTTTGGGATATTTTCACATTTTTGTGTATCACTGGTAATAGTTCCTTCTTATGCTCATCATAATGCTTCTTCATCCATGCTGTTGCAGTATTTCCTTTTGATCTCTTAATAGAATTCCACTGTATGAATATGGCACAGTTTGGTTACGTTTTTTCAATTGATAGACATTTGGTCTTTCCACTTTGGGCTATTATGAACAAAGCTACTATAAACATTCTTGTGCAAGTTTGCTTTTATTTTTTTCTTACATATACACCAAGAGAGAGTGGAAAATTCTTAACTATAGGGAACAGAGGTTGCTGGAGGGGAGGAGGGTGAAGGGATGGGGTAGATGGGTGATGGGCATTGAGGAGGACCCTTGTAATGAGCACTGGGTGTTATATGCAAGTGATAAATCATCCAACTCTACCCTTGAAACTAATACTATATTATATGTTAACTAACGAATTTAAATAAAATCTTGAAAGAAAAAAGTGGAATTTCTGGGCCAGAGGGTAGACATATCTTTGACTTAAACTACTGAACAGTTTCCTAAAGTATTTGTATTCAGGCTGATATAACAAAGATACCATAGACTGGGTGGCTTAAATAACACATTTATTTCTCACAATTCTGGAGGTGAGGAAGTCCAAAAATCAAGGCACCAGCAGATCTGGTGTTTCATGGGGGCTCTCTACTCAGTCTGAAGGTGGCTGTGTCCTCCCTCAGGTGGTAGAGACCTGGGAAAGGGTCGGGGATGGAGAGGAGAGGGAGAGAGAATTTTTTACTCTTCATCCCCTTGTAAGGGTACCAAATCCCATGATGGGCTCCATCCCCATGACCTCATCCATACCTAATTACTTCCTTAAACCCCACCCATAGACACCGTCTTGTCAGGGATTAAGGCTGCATGCAACGTATGAATTTGGGGTGAGGGGGAGACACAAACATTTAGTCCACAACAATCTATCATTTTTCATTTGTGCCAGCAGTGTGCTCCACTAAGTCCTGTGCTTTCAATTTCTAATTTTCCTTTTCTCCTATTTTTCCTCTTTTTATTCTGATAAAATTTGCTCAATATCTTTTCCTAACCCTGTATTGAACTTTCAATTCCTGTCGTTAAATCTTTAGGACACTCTTCCTTCCTATTCTTTAATAATGTTTTATTAGAACATATTCTGACTTCAGATTATTCCAGAGTATTCACACTCAGAAAAGGAAACTAATAGTAAAGTGCATTCAGAGAAATCTTTGTTTTCACAGTCAGATTAAGATTTAGCCCCTTTATATTAATTTTCACTATAAAAAAGTTCTCAGGAAACCAAATACCCGTGGTCCCTTTAGAGTGATGCAGTTGTGCTAAAATCAGTGCTTGAGGCCCAAAGTAAAGTTCATTGATTGTTGAAACATCCAGCTGGAATCACTTGCAGTAGAACTTGGTGCAAATCTCTGAGGTCTCCTCCAGCAAACACTTTCCTTCTGTACTTCTTCTTTTTCGAAAACTTTTGACTTTTTTTTTTTTTTTTAAACTTTTGATCCTCACTTTGGGCCACCATGTGGCTCCCCAGGCAGGCACTGACATCAAGCCCCCCAGATTTTCACCAAGAAAGCCAACTCCTTCATGTATATTTAGTATCTAAACCTGTGTCTTTTTTTTTTTTTTTTTTTTTAATCTATAGTTTAGAATCCTGGCACTCTAAGGAGATGGTCAGAGGAGTCCTCTGAGAATCAACAGCGTTTGTCAGAAATGTGGAGACACCTGGTGGTTATCAGAGACATTGAACCCTTGATTCCAGACCAGACTGATTATCACTCACCCGGGATCTTGAGAAAATTCAGCCTCCCTGCCAGGAGCGCCTCCTGCTGGATACTCTGAATCAGTGGGCCTAAGTAGGGCCAGGAATCTGTACTTTTAAAACAGCCAGATTACCTACATTAGTCATTCCCAGTCCAAAGTCTTAGCCATGATTTAAGAGAGAAGATCTAAAAGCTATGTATCTGGATCACATTATCTTAGCTTCCTTGTAGAAGTCAGGCTTAAGGAGCCTCCAGTCATTCCTTTCAATATGAGACATCCATTTACAGACAACTTCTATACCCTTCATAAAATTGGCTAAGAGCATCAACCAGCATTTATATAAGAATCCATGTCATTCTTTTTCCTAAAAAAAAAAAAAGAAGAGCTGGTTCCTCAGATGAGCCTAAATGTTCCTTTTATCAAGTAAAAGCTATGCATCCCAAGGTATTTGTTTCCTGGCCTTCTGAGAAGCTCACAGATAAATTGTCCCATTTGGAAAATTATCCCATTTCAAAAATCCTGTTGCATCTAGCTCTGCCTTCTGATTTACAACCTTACTTTAAAATGTTAAATTGTGTTTCTAACAAGTGTTTATGACCCCATCTGCTCATTGCAGTATAATGTAAGCAATCCAGGTATAGAATGACCCCATAGCATGAACTCTCCAAAACGTTCTAAAAGCCAGTATATGTAAGAAACAAAATTCTCAATTTTTGTTTGCAAAAGGAAGAATAAGCCTGGTTAAATTCAAGGGCAGTGATGCCCAAGGAGGCGGGCGGAAGGGGAGGGAGGGAGGGAGAAGAGGGGAGAGGTGGGGAGTGGGAGAGCCACCAGGGAGGCTGGCAGGCTCTCTTCTTCAAGGTTGCACAGAGCAGCACTCGTTTTATAAAGTCCCTTGGTCTTGAAGCCCCAGAAACCTGCTGTTAGCACAAGAAGAGAGTCCATCTGTCATTTTGTCTTAACCAAGCTCTCAGATTAACATATACTGGATTCCAGTTAATTTAGAATGAGAAAATTGCCTTTGAGACACACATATCCATTGGACCTGCTCATTCACATCTAAATGCTTCTGGGCTTTTGCCCCCATCCACCCTTTCCCATCGCGGGTCCCACTGCTCCCCCTTTGTGCCTCTGTTGTCAATTGTGAGTTTCTTTAGCTTAAATTCCCATTTCCCAGAGCTGCTCATCCAAAACTCTATTACCCGAAGCCCCTTAAAAAATATTTTATTTATTCATGAGAAACACAGAGAGGCAGAGACACAAGCAGAGGGAGAAGCAGGCTTCTTGTGGGAAGTCTGATGCAGGACTTGATTCCAGGACCCTGGGATCACGACCTGAGCCGAAGGCAGACACTCAACCACTGAGCCACCCAGATACCCCCCGAAGCCCATTTTAAATGCCCTCTTCTCTTCAAACTTGCCTTGAGCCTTCAAATCCAAAATAAGTGCACCCTCGGAACTGTAGAGAGCACTTTGTTCCTTCCACACTCCCTTTTTTCCCCCACACTTTTTTTTTTCACACTTTTTTTTTTAAGTTACATTTAAAAAATGTACCTGACTACAGGAAGCCCGTAAACACTCTCTGTGTTTTACTGATGCTTGGAACTCCAGAGAGGGCGACGGGGCCTGATGCAGGTCACAGACACTCGCTGTGAAAGAGCACCTGTGACAGAAGGGATGGTCATGGGCGGGTCTCAGAGTTCAGCCTCCCCACCTGGGTGATAGGACCACTCTTCCTTCTACTGGGCTGTGAACTCCCGGAGGGTAAGTCTCCACTGCATATCCAGCACCGGAGGGCAGCCCGGGTGGCTCAGCGGTTTAGCACCTGCCTTCGGCCCAGGGCGTGATCCTGGGAACCCGGGATCGAGTCCCACATCAGGCATCCCTGCATGGAGCCTGCTTCTCCCTCTCCCTCTGCCTGTGTCCTCTCTCTCTCTGTGTGTGTCTCATCATGAATGAATAAAAAAAAATCTTAAAAAAAAAATAAACATTAACCAGCACCGGAATAGGGTCCCCGCATCCTGCAGATGCCCAGTAAATGTCTGCTGAAAGAACTCATGGAGAAGGGAAGAAATGATAGAAAGGAAGAAATGATTGAATGAATGGGTCGATGAACTCATCCACTCCTCCCCGCGAGGCCTCGGTCGTGCACGTAATTACTGCATTGGCGGGAGTCGGCGGGGATTCCGAGCACCCGCAGCCCGGGGTAGGGGCGGAGCGCCGAGTGACCCCGCCCACAGGAGGGCGGGGCGAGCGGACAGCCCCTCCCACAAAGAGGCGGGTCCCGCGGAAGTCCCGCCCACGCGGAGGCGGGGCCTGCGGCGCGCGGGAAGAAGCGCTAGCGGCGGCGGGAGCTGGAGGCGCAGCCGACTGGCCGCGGCCCTGCAGGTACTGCTCCCCGGGCGCTGGCCCCCGCGTCCCCCCGGCCTCCCGGCGGGGCCGCGCGGGCGGCGAGAGGGACTCGCTGAGGGCGGGCCGCGGGGGCTGGGCAGAGCTGCGGGGCGGCGCGCGTTCGGGCGGCGCCGTGCGGCCTCCTCCCGGCCGGGCCCGGTCTCGGCGTCCCGTGCGCTCCGGCCCCGCGGCCGCAGCCCCAGGGGCGCGGGGGTCGCCGGCGGGCCCTGCCCCGGGCGGCGCCTGGCTCCCCGGGAGCGCCCCGGGCCCACGGAGCGGGGCGGCCGCGCAGCAGGGCCGGGCCCTGGATTTCCTCGGCCCGGCTCCCCGGCTCCCCGGCTCCGGCTCAGGGAGGCGTCCCAGGTGCCCTTGCGGAGGTGTCCGGGGAGAGCGCGACGCTGCCTCCCCTCCCCTCCCCTCCCCTCCCCTCCCCTCCCCTCCCCTCCCCTCCCCTCCCCTCCCCTCCCCTCCCCTCCCCTCCCCTCCCCTCCCCTCCCCTCCCCTCCCCTCCCCTCCCCTCCCCTCCCCTCCCCTCCCCTCCCCTCCCCTCCCCTCCCCTCCCCTCCCCTCCCCTCCCCTCCCCTCCCCTCCCCTCCCCTCCCCTCCCCTCCCCTCCCCTCCCCTCCCCTCCCCTCCCCTCCCCTCCCCTCCCCTCCCCTCCCCTCCCCTCCCCTCCCCTCCCCTCCCCTCCCCTCCCCTCCCCTCCCCTCCCCTCCCCTCCCCTCCCCTCCCCTCCCCGGCGCGGCGGCCTCACTGCCGAGCGGGCTCCCGCGCCTGCCCCGCTCGAACACTCCATTCATCCCCGACGGTTTTCAGCTTTTCCTCCGCCTTCGGGGGCGGATTTGTCTCGGCCCCTTGCAGACCCGGCGGCATGAAAGTCATCACTTGCGAAATAGCCTGGCACAACAAGGAGCCGGTGTACAGCCTGGACTTCCAGCACGGCGCGGCGGGCAGGATCCACAGGCTGGCGTCGGCGGGCGTGGACACCGCGGTCCGGGTGAGCGGGGCGCGGCGGGGCGGGGCGGGGGCGGGGCGGGGCCTCCTCCCTTCCTGTGCTCAAAACCTGTGTCTGCAGACTCAGGCCGCCCTGCCCCCAGCCCAGGCTGCAGACGGGTTCTCAGGGCCGCGAGTGAACCGTGAGAGCACAAGAAAGCTTGCTTTATTCCTTGGCCAGTGCTTCCTAGATGGATACACTGCATGCTCCTTATTTGATTATTATTATTGTTTTTTAAGATTTTATTTAATTATTCATGAGAGAGGGAGAGAGGGAGAGGGAAGCTCCATGCAAGGAGCCCGACGTGGGACTCGATCCTGGGACCCCAGGGTCAGGCCCTGGGCTCAAGGCAGCGCTAAACCGCCGAGCCACCCGGGATGCCCTATTTTTATATTTTTTTTTAAAAGATTTTATGTATTTATTCATGAGAGACGCAGAGAGAGAGGGAGAAGCAGGCTCCCTGCGGGGAGCCTGATGCGAGACTCGATCCCAGGACCCTGGGATCACAACCTGAGCCAAAGGCAGGTGCTCAACCAACTGAGCCACGCAGGTGCCTCCGATGCAGATCGTTTTAGAATCCTGAGCCAGGGATCCCCTGGTGGCGCAGCGGTTTAGCGCCTGCCTTTGGCCCAGGGCGCGATCCTGGAGACTCGGGATCGAATCCCACATCGGGCTCCCGGTGCATGGAGCCTGCTTCTCCCTCTGCCTGTGTCTCTGCCTCTCTCTCTCTCTCTGACTATCATAAATTAAAAAAAAAAAAAAAAAAAGAATCCTGAGCCACTTCCTAGTGGGAACACTTGGCCCCAGAAAGAGGTAGGAGGGAGGGTAGCAAGTCGTGGGACTGTCTAGGTTTCAGATGGAAATTCCATTTTACATGTATCCAAAGACAAGCTATTTCCTTCCCGAAAACTAGCCTGGTATTGTTTTGGTAAGTGTTTAGTGTTTAACAGTGTGGTAGGTGTTCACTCTGTGTGTCTCGGAATGAACGTTTTGGTTATCGACAGATCTGGAAGGTGGAAAAAGGACCCGATGGAAAGGCCATTGTTGAATTTTTGTCCAACCTTGCTCGCCATACCAAAGCTGTCAATGTCGTGCGTTTTTCTCCAAATGGGGAAATTTTAGCATCAGGAGGAGATGGTGAGTATTAGTATTATCCTTCAAAATTCCTTAGAAACCAGATACCTTTCTGTCTCCTGTTAAATAGTGAGATCTGAGCTAGGTACACTTTTTTATTTTTGAGGTCACTTGACCTCTCGATCCGTCATTTATTTTTTATTTTTTTATTTTTTTTGTTTGTTTGTTTTTTAAGATTTTTGAGAGAGAGAGGGAGTTGATGAGAAGGGGGGGGTAGAAGAAGAAGCAGGCTCCCGGATGATGTGGGACTGGATCCCAGGACTCCGGGGTCATGACCTGAGCTGAAAGCAGACACTTAACAGACTAAGCTATCCAGGCACCCTCAATCCGTCATTTAGATAGTTCAGTAAAATAGCGTTCTGAGGAGCTTGAGGGGATGGAGGACCAAAAGCTTAACCTGAGCAGAGCTGTTTATAAATGGCCGCTCCTCCACCCCACTCGTAGGGACCAGTAGGAAGGTGCTTACCATTTTGTCAAAGTCCCAATGCAGTCCTCCTGGCCTTGTTTGATTGCTAGTTTAGTATCCAAGTGATCATAGTCTTTCCCATGTCTTTGTGTGATTAATTTATTTAAAGATTTTACTTATTTATTCATGAGAGACACAGAGACAGAGAAAGAGAGAGAGAGAGAGAGGCAGAGACACAGGCAGAGGGAGAAGCAGGCTCCATGCACCGGGAGCCCGATGTGGGACTCGATCCCGGGACCCAGGATCACGGCCTGGCCTGAGGGCAGGGGCTAAACTGCTGAGCCACCCAGGGATCCCCTCTGTGTAATTAATTAATTCACCTGAGGGAGTATTGTCTGAATGGCCCTCTAAATTATGTTTGCTTGGTGGAAGTAGAATGATTCATATTTTCTGCTTGTGTTTAAATGGCATTAAACTACTACAAAAAAAAGTAAATCTTTTTTACTGTGTTTTGACACCGAAACAGTCTAGAAGTTAGTACAAAATAAAACACATCACAGGTTTTTGTTTGCAGAAGGAAGAAAGAGATCTGGTTAACTCCAGTGCCACAATGTCCAGAGTGTGTGGCACAGAGAGATAGAAGGTGGGGAGCGTCACTGGGGGAGGCTGGCAGGCTATCTTCTGTGAGGTTGCACAGGGGAGCTCTCGTTTTGCCAAGTCCTTTGGCCCTAGAGGGTCAGAAACCTGCTGTTAGCAGTAGAGAGTGTCCACTTGTCAATGTCGAGGCTGATCTCCTCTTCACCCAGCTCCCAGGATTACAGCTTAGCGTGAGCACACTTGTGCCCATACAGCCAGCTCAGTCACTGTCCTGCTGGCACTCAGAGCGAAGCTGCATGGGGCTCTGACTTGTGTGGTGAGTTGGGGTCCCAGCACAGGGAGTTAGAGCCCCCAGACAATTGATGACAACAGGCTGAGGTATCTGATGTGTCTGTGGGCTCACTGTGTGCTAGGCATCATGTTGTGCTACATACATATTAACTCATCGAATACTCTAGACAGAGTAGACAATACTCTAGACTCTAGATAGTCTGAGGTAGGTATGCATTTTACAGAGGGGGTAGCTGAGGAGTCCAGATGCTAAGGCCTGCGGACACAGCTGGGCACGATTTGCCAATCCTTGCTTAGTGGCTCTTTGTTTCCGCCTATTCAGCTGCTCCTGGGTTATGCCTTAGGATGTGTTAACGTAGTCAGCCGCTCTGCAGCGGTATTTTGCTGGCCTGGGGACCCTTCTGTTTAATAGGCCTTTATAGCCTGATCGGGTTTAATAGCTCTGATCGGGTATCAGTTTGATTTTGGAGTTTTAGGTTAGAAGGCAGATTGTCCAGATTCTTACAAGTCACTCATTGTGACCACAGTATCTATTGAACAATGTAACTAGGGTTTGGTTTTTTTTTTTTAAGATTTTATTTATTCATTCAGGAGAGAGAGAGAGGGGGGCAGAGACACAGGGAGAGGGAGAAGTAGGGTCCTGCAGGGAACCCGACATGGGACTCGATCCCGGGTCCCCAGGATCATGCCCTTGGCTGAAGGCGGTGCTAAACTGCTGAGCCACCCGGGCTGCCCGTAACTAGGGTTTTAACACCGTAGCAGCCCAGAAAGGAGGGAGCCTGCAAAAACCATGGCTCATCTGTAACCACATCGCTCCGCAGATGCTGTCATTCTGTTGTGGAAGGTGAATGACAACAAGGAGCCAGAACAGGTTGCTTTCCAGGATGAGGATGAGGCTCAGCTGAATAAGGAGAATTGGACTGTCGTGAAAACCCTGAGGTAACTTGGGGAGGGGCTAGACGAGTGCTTTATCTGACATCTCTAAATGGATTCGACTCACATGCATTGGGTCTTGAACTCACAAGAGTTCTTTTTTCTCTTTATTTCTCTTTCTTTTTTTAGAGAGAGAGTGGGTGGTAAAAGAGAAGGAGAATCTCAAGCAGGCTGCACACCCAGCTTGGAGCCCACCCAACGCAGGGCTCGATCTCACGGCCCTGAGATCCTGACCTGAGCCCAAACCCCAGAGTCTGACACTTAACCCACTGAGCCACCCAAGTGCCCCAAAATGGGTTTTATTTCTGCTGTAAAATTTTCCTTAGATTGAATTCATTATAAAGATATGACTACCCCCTGAAGGAGTAGCAGATCGTAACTGCGGGTAATATAGTTCCAGTGGAAATTTCTGAAATCCTAATCCATGGTCTCTGAGTTTGCCTGTAGACTTTTTATGCCTTTTTCTCTCATTAAGACAAGATTTGCTTTTCCCCTCCTTCTCCTCTTCGGATTCCAGGGGCCACTTAGAAGATGTGTACGACATTTGCTGGGCAGCTGACGGGAATTTAATGGCTTCTGCCTCTGTGGATAACACGGCCATCATATGGGACGTCAGTAAAGGTAGCTGACATGTTTCTCTTATTGTCAGGGGGAAGGAATATTCCACGTGGCTAAAAAGTCTAACCTGCTTTATCTTTAAAGACATAGGAAGAGTTTCTTAGTGAATTGGAATAAGGTGTCTGGCTCAGCACTTGAGGATGCCCATGTGTCGTGGATCCAACTCTATTTTAGGGTCCCAGTCAGAGTGGAAGCGGCTTAGCCCTGGTGCCCAAGCAAAGTCCATCCTGTGTGCGTGGGGGTGCAGACATGCTGGGGGCAGGGCTCATGCCTGCCTGGAACTCAGGATCTTGCACAGTTTAGCACGTTGTCGTAATCGATGGGCACTTGAATGCTCTGTGTTGGGATAGGTAGGATCAGGTGCCTGTCTGAGATCAAGGATGGCCAAGGTGCCTCCCTCATTCACAGAACTTATTCTCTGATTAGGGAGATAGTAGCATGTGGAAAGTTCTAAAAATGGCAGCAAAAGGCCAAAAGCCAGTTAGTGGCTAATGCCAGCCTGTTTTTGCCCCTCTACAGACCGTTACTCGACCTTGATGTTTCCTCCCAGGCAAGAGGCTTGCCCTGCTCCTGTCTGGTGTGCAGGCTGCTGATCCTCCCCAGCTCGAGAGCCCTGGGAGGGAGTCGGGGTGGAGTAGGCCTCCCCCTGTGCTGGCTGCACCTCTGGTTATCCACTCTTTGACCCAGACCAGTGTGGCGTCAGTAGGATAGTGCTGGGAGGCTTCTCCAAGCTCAAGGAGCACAAGGCAGGGAAGCAAGGCATGGGGGTTACTCTGGGGAAGAGCCTCAGGCCAGTGGGAGCAGCAGGTGCAAGGGCCCTGCACATAGCCGCTAGAGTCCCCGGGCAGGTCGATTACGAAGTCCTTCAGAGAACCCCACACAACTCACGCACCGGCTGGATGACAGCAATTGTGGGTTAAAAGTCTCTCTTGTAAATCTCAGAGGATGTTTGGGGAGATGTCATCACCCACCTTAATGTCCCAGACTCCCCAAAAAGACTTGCAGGAAGGCCGGGGGTGGGGGGAAGTTAGCCCAAAGCACACCTACTGCACATCATGGACATCGGGTGGGTCACAGGGTCAGGGGCAACTCTTGGAGGGGAGTGGAAGCCAGACTGCAGAGGGCTGAGAGGAGGAGGAGAAATAGGGGGAGGCGAGTGAGCGAGTGTAGATCCCTTTTCAGAGGAGAGGGTTTAGGGGGCTTTTTTTGTTTTTGTTTTTTTGAATGGCCAGGGCTTCATGCCTCCCTCCTCTTTTTATCCAGGTAATCTTTGTGCGTTACTGGTTTATTTTATTTTACTTAAAGATTTTAATTATTTATTCACAAGAGACACAGAGAGAGGCAAAGACACAGGCAGAGGGAGAAGCAGGCATCCTGCAGGGAGCCTGATGTGGGACTCCATCCCAGGGACCCTGGGATCACGCCCTGAACCGAAGGCAGACGCACAACCACTGAGCCACCCAGGTGCCCTGAACCTCAGTTTCATCTTCATCATGCCAGTTCCTTTCCATCTGGGTGTCTGTCTCGGCCACACCATGAATTCCTAGAACCTTTTTTCCTTGTACACAAGGCTCGCGGTCATATACCTCCTGCCCTCCATGTTTTGCCATTTTGGCCTTGGATGTAACCCTCTAGAAGTCTCCCTGACACATTGCTCCACGTGCCTAAGCCGCCGGCCCCCCGGATCTGCTTACAGTACCTGCTGCTTCATGATCCCCTGCATCCTGCCCGCCCAGATAGCTCAACTCGGCTGGTCCCCTTCTTGACCCTCACCACTGCCTCACCAGCCGCCCATCTGTATACTGTGCTGCCCGCTGATAGGTGTGTGTCTCCCCCGAAGCTGCGGGCTCCTTGAGGGTAGGGACTGTGTGGGGTCCTCTCTGTCTTCCCAGAGCCTGACACAGACTGCAGAGCAGAGGCTCCGTCACCGGCTGCAACACAATGCAGTGGTATAAAGGGCACAATGCTTCGTTTACTCCACTTGTGCTTGAGTAGGTTCTGGCAATGCTGTTGTGTGCTTTGTTCGCAGGACAAAAGCTCTCCATCTTTAATGAACATAAAAGTTATGTCCAAGGAGTAACCTGGGACCCCTTGGGTCAGTATGTTGCTACCCTGAGCTGTGACAGGTGCGTCTGTCATCTTCTCTGTTGGCTTGAAATTTTCTGCAAAGCTGTTTTCATCACCACTTAACTAAAAATAAGGCAAAGTCTAGGTTTGATTAATCTATCCATCCATCTATCTGTGTTCTTGGTTTCATATAAAGCATTGGGTTTTACTATTATTCTTAGGCCATAACAAGAAATTGGAAACTAATTAGGGAGGCGCCTTATATTCAGTGCTTAGTAAATCTTTATTGAATGGGTGAATGAATGCATAGAGAGCTTTGAATTACATTTGAATTTCGTGGGCAGTTTTTAAAGAAAAGGTGTTTTGTAAATATGACTTATGAAAGAAGGGGTACTTAGCAGTAGGGTTCGATATTTTTTTCTTCTTTCTTTTTTAAGATTTATTTTTAAGTAATGTCTACACCCTGTGCTAGGTTGAAACTCACAAACCCTGAGATCGAGTTGTATGCTCCACTGGATGAGCCAGCCAGACACTCCCGTTTCGTTTTTTTATTATAATTCACTACTGCAGTGATTTTAATGACTCTACTTATATTAATGTAGACATAGAATATTTTCTTTTTAAAAAAAATACATATATATATTTTAAAATTACTTGAGAGAGAGAGAGAGAGTGAGAGCAGGAGCATGAGCAGAGGGAAGGGCAGAGGCAGAGGGAGAAGCAGACTCCCCACTGAACAGGGAGCCCGATGTGGGGCTCAATCCCAACCTTGAGATCATGACCTGAGCTGAAGAGACACCTAATGGACTAAACCACCCAGGCGCCCCTGTTTTGCCTTTTTTGAAAAGAGATTTTACTGCTGTGTTTACTGGTGTCATGTATTTCATTGTGTTCTTGGAACAAAGAACTAAAAATCAGAGGTGCTAGATATTTTATTCATCAGTTGAAGTAGCCCTTTTGAGTATTTATCCGACTACTTTTAATCACCTCTGATTTCAGATGGCCCAGCAATGTGGAAGAGTTAGGAGATGCTATGGAAAATAAACACTGCTAAATTGTATGTGCACTTATTTTCTGATCTGTGTATATTATTCAGGCAATCAGGAGTTGAAACGATCTGATTAGCTAAGTGGGAATAATATGAATTAGCAACAACCAAATTTATCTGCTGGTGTTTACCTTACTCTTGCAAATCCCTGGAGGCGAGACCATTTGACACAAAATAAACGTCACTGCAGTTCTACAAATTGTCCCGGGGCCCAGTGTCCGAGGCCTGAAAAGGCCAGGCCTAAAGTACATCTTCCTTGACAAATTGGAATATTCACTAAAAAATGAAGTTATGACCTCTTTCCTCACTTTCACTAGTGACCTCCATTGGGTGGTTTGCTTCTGTCATAATTAGTTAGCGTGTGACAGTGTGACAGTCACTGTAAGTGGTCTTACAGGCTGACACTGTTTAGTGGGTCTTCGGTTTTGATGCTAGATTGCTTCTGTGTGGAACACTTCATTCACCAGAAGAGGTCACTCAGACTCTTCTTCTTCCTATAGGATCCTGAGGGTATACAGCACCCAGAAGAAACGTGTGGCTTTTAACGTCTCAAAAATGCTGTCTGGAGTAGGGGCTGAAGGAGAGGTATCAAATATTTGAGCTACTTTAAGCTGTGCTTCAGTTGAGACTTAGAAAGTCACAAGCACCTCTGCATCTTACGGCTGAACCACTGGTCTCAGGCCCATGACCCTTGAGCTACCAAGTACTTCCTCAGATCCAGTCGAGGCTCAGTTAGGCCGTTGGGCTGATCTGTGTGGAACTGGGGACATCTGGGGGCCAGGGGAGAGCGCTGATGGTGGATGGAGGTGTTTGTTCAACCCTGGCTCACTGTGGAGTCATCGGGAAGCATGAAGACACATAGGTCCCCGTCCGCGTCCCCCTAGATGTGATTCACTTGACTTGAAGTGGGCAGGGTGTCTGGGATTCTGAGGTGTAGTGAGGGTCGAGAACTTCTGACCTCGGGGGACCCCGGCACTGTGCCACAGGAAGGCAGGTGGGTCAAGCATTGGATTGCCTGGTGGGAGGCAGTATGCCATCTTGGCCGGTATGGAGAGAATGTTGCTAGCAGACAGCAGAGACCCGGCCAGTGGTCGTAGAGGAATCAAGATGACAGATGCAGGCACTTAGGCAGAAGGGAACAAAAAAGGGATACGGTGCAAACCCAGTCCTCAGGCAGCCGGCCAAGGCCAGGTGGGCCGTGAGCTGGCCACACAGGAGAGCTCACCCACAGTAAGGAGGGTGATGCTGGGTCTTTGGGTCCTGGAGACCTAAATGCTTAACGTTTATCACGTGTAAGCAAGTGGGAGCAAGAACTGTCCCACACAGGTGTTCAAGACATGTTTGAGAAGAGGATTATCAGTTCAATAGCGGACTGTTTTCTCTAGACGAAGTGTTCATTAGCTTGGAGGTTCTAAGTGGACACAGATAGCAAAGGGCGCCCAGTCATCGTCTGGCTTTCCCCCCCAGTCTCATTCTCTAGACAAACCGCTGTTGACAGTGTGCTGTGTTGTCACAGAGGCTTTTTACAAAGATAACTGTAGAGCCCTCCACACACACGTAGACTCGTAAGCACACACAGCTTTCCTTAACACAATGACAGTTGGTCTTTATGAGGGATTACTCTTGCAGGCCTTTTTTCTTTTTTAAAGATTTATTTATGGGATGCCTGGGTGGTTCAGTTGTTGAGCATCTGCCTTTGGCTCATGATCCCAGGGTATGGGGATTGAGTCCCACATCGGGCTCCCTGCAGGGAGCCTGCTTCTCCCTCTGCCTATGTCTCTGCCTGTCTGTCTCTCATGAATAATTTTTTTTTAAGGATTTTTTTATTTTACAGAGTTGGGGGCGGTGGGGAGGGGCAGAGAGAGAGAGAGAGAATCTCCAGCAGACTCCCCACTGCACACAGAGCCAGATATGGGGCTCGATCTCCCCACCCTGAGATCGTGACCGGAGCCAACATCAAGAGTCGAACCCTTATGAACCCTTATCTGACTGAGCCACCCAGGCAGCCCTGCTCTTGCAGTCTTAAGTGGTTGTTTGATTTGTGATCTATTTAATCTATTATTATGTGAGTAGTAAATGATACTATGTAGATAAAAAGGAATTGGTAAGCTTTTCTTGTGAGTGTAAAGATTTGGACTAATGTTTAAACTTGTGTGCTGCAGGCAAGAAGTTACCGGATGTTTCATGACGACAGCATGAAGTCATTCTTTCGTAGACTTAGTTTCACCCCTGATGGATCTTTGCTCCTCACACCAGGTGGGTTTAACAAGCTTTTTTTTTTTTTAAGATTTTTATTTTTAAAAATTATTTTAATTTTTTAATTATTTTTGTAAGAATTTGTTCATTTATTTGTGAGAGACACAGAGAGAGAGAGGCAGAGACACAGGCAGAGGAAGAGGCAGGCTCCATGCAGGGAGCCTGACACGGGACTCGATCCCAAGTCTCCAGGATCACGTCCTGGGCCAAAGGTGGCACTAAACTTCTGAGCCACCCCGCTGCCCTTTTTTTTAAGATTTTATTTATCCGTTTAGAGATTCAGAGTGCTAGAGACAGCGTGAGCTGGGGGAGAGGCAGAAGGAGAGAATCTTCAGGCATACTCCTCGCTGAGCACAGAGCCCCATGCGGGGCTCAATCTCACAACCCTGAGATCACGACCTGAGCCAACATCAAGAGTCGGACACTTAAGTGACTGAACCACCCAGGCACTCCAAGAATAGTTTTGAAAGTCTGAAAAATAATACTTGAGCAGCTGTCTGCCTGACCAAATGTCAGCAAATCCTGTGGCGCTACTATTACCAAATCAATATGGTTATTAGTACAGGAATAAACAAATGGGTGGGCCAGAACAGAAAATCCAGAATCAGTCCTGAGATCAAAGGGAATTTACTGTCTGACTTGGGTGGTATTTCAGTGGGAAGAATGAATTACTGAGTGAATGGTGCTGGAATGTCTGGCTACCTGGAAGAAAATGATATTGGATCCTTCACTTACATATAAAGATCAATTCCATGTTATTCAATACTTAAATATAAAAGGTGAAAACATAGGAGGACGTCCTAGGACAGGGAAGACCAGCTTAAGACTGGAAACCCGGAAGCTCTTAAATGATAGGCCTATTTGAGTGCGTTTGACTAGGGAATCTTCGTATAGCAAAGACCCAGGAAGCACAACCTGCCAACAAATAACTGGAAAATACTGTTTACTGTATAGGCAAGAGAGCGCTTATGTATATATACATACAGGGGCTCTTCCAAATTGATGAGAAAAAAAAAAAGAAAAATCCAGAAGAAAAAATATGTATATACAAAAAGGCAGTTTGTGGAAGAGCAGATCTGCGTGTTCACACACAGGAAAAGGTTCGGAGACTCAATGATAGAGAAATAGAAAGTAAAGTGACCTATGATTAGGTACCTCTCTGTTCTTTTCAGACTAGAAAAATGAAAATATCTACTGCAGATGGGCAAGCAGAGTGTGGTTACTGCTGGTGGGAATGTGAATTGTTCACAGCCTTTTCAGGAAACAGTCTGGTCACCATTAAAGGCACATTCCCGTCAGCCCATCTGCCCCTCATCCTAGACTCAGTCTTTATGAAAATGTAATAGAAAAAGTACATTGTCAACCATGCTTACTGCAAGTGTTGTTTGTGGTTGTGGAAAGACAGTACTGATGGACAAGACGGGTGAATGGATTATGGTATTTTCATACCAGTGACCGTCAGGCAGCCGGGAAGAGGATGCATCACCAGGTTAGCTTTCGTGAGTAGGCACCTGGGCCGAGCAACATTAGGAGAGGCGTAAACAAGACCCCTTCTCAGGGAGACAGACTGGAGACTCTACTGTATGAATAGATGTGCAGTTGAGTTGTAACTGGTTGCAATGGTTGTGTGAGTGTGGAAGAATGGGGGAGAGGATCCCTGGTTTGTTCAAATGGGTCACGTGGGGATGGCAGTGTGGGCTGGGTGGGGAGATAGTAGAAAGAGTACTGATGGGGTCTCTGCCCCCTGCCCCCATCTGGTGGAGATGAAGAGGTCACATGTGAGGCTACATGTGTGTGTGGATCAAGAAAGAGGTGTCCAAGGGAAGCTGTGGTTGACGGTCCTTCTCTGGCTGGGTCTGGCCTGGTTTTAAGGACGACCCCAGGGTGCGTGTAGAAGAGCTCAAATGTGGGTTCTCCCTAGAGGAAGGTGAGCCGCTGCAGGGGGTTAGGGCTGTGGCAGAGGCCTGGGTCCCCCCCTGCAGCCTGGCTCCACCAGGCAGGTAGGAAAGACGAGAAAGGCTCTGGCTGGCAGCCACACTCAAATCCAGGGGACAGAGCCTGGGGATCTAATGAGAGCGTTTATCCGGCAGGAAGTGGCCGGGCAGAGGGCAGAGGTCTCCCATAGCAAGGCCCTCCTGCTCCCATTCTTCCTCCCCAGGCCTGAAGCCATGCCGAGTGGTGGGGTTACCCCGGGGGTGGGGCGGGGAGGTGACAGGTGGGTAGAGCTGGAGTAAGAGCTGAGCCCAGACTGGGACCGTTTGTATTTGTCCTTGGTCACAAAAACATTGTCCAGGGCATACAGTGAGCGGGGAAAAGATTTTACAAGCCAGGGTTGCATGCTCATGAGTTTATCTTCTTCAGTCTAATAAAATCTTGCCTTTTCTCCCTATCCCTGCTTCCCTAGCTGGGTGTGTGGAATCTGGCGAAAACGTAACAAATACAACTTATGTGTTCTCCAGGAAAAATCTTAAAAGGTACGCAATTGAAGAAAGAGTTGAGATGTTTACCCTTTCTTTTTTGTTTTGTGGTGAGTAACAGTGCCCTTTCTAAGAAGGCCATGACCAATCTTGCAGGCCTATTGCTCACCTTCCATGCCCTGGCAAGGCGACGCTCGCTGTTCGCTGCTGTCCCGTCTACTTTGAGTTGAGGCCAGTGGTAGAAACAGGTACGTCAGAACCACAGTAGTCGTGTTCTGTTTTCTCTGAGGCAGGTCACTGGGGTGTGGGGTCTTGATTGGGGTTTTATCTTGTGGGGAAAGGTATGTGGGTTTGGTTCAGTTTAGTTAACTTGGAAAAGCTGGAGCAAAGACAGTGTTATCAAAAACGTGTCCATTTTTTTGTCTTGTCCAGAATACCCTTTTTTCACTTAACTCTAAAGGAATAAAGGACTTTTATTCTTCTACCGAAGCAGGTCGAATGCCATTCATTTTTCCTATGCTGTAAAATTATATATGAATTGGATTTTCGTTTTTTAGGGTTTTTTTTCCCCCCTCCATCTAAATAGATCTTGTCCATGGCTTTAAGCAGTCGGATTATGATGAGTCTTGGTGTGGTTTCCTCTGATTTCTTGTGCATGGAGTTTGTTGAACTCTTAGACCTATGGATTTACAGTTATCACATTTGGGGAATTTTGACCATTATAGCTTCAAATATTTTTTTTCTTCACCAAGGATGCCACCTACACTTGCATTAGGCCATTTGACGTTACTCCCTGGCTTGCTAATGATCTGTCTGCTTGTTTTTTCCCCTCTCGGTACCTCAGTTTTCTGCATTACATATTCCGTGTCTCTATTTAACATGCTCCATCTTTCCTCTTGTTTCTTGAGTAGATAGAATACAGTTTAAGATTTTATTTGAGAGAGAGGGCACACGAGCAGCGGGAGTGCAGAGGCAGAGAGAGAAGCAGAGTCCCCACTGAGCAGGGAGCCTGATGCAGGACTCGATCCCAGGGCCCCAGGATTATGACCTGAGCAGAAGGCAGTTGCTCAACCAACTGAGCCCCCCACGTGCCCTGGAATACAGTTTTTGTAATGACTCTTAATGTTTTTGTGTACAAAGGATTGGCTCTGATTTTTCTTCCCCTCTCGTATGGGTCACATTTTCTTCTTTGCTTGCCTGGTAATTTTCTGTTAGATGCCAGACATCGTGACGGTGCCTTTCGTGGATGCTGGATATATTTCTACAGATGTTCTTGAGCTTATTGTGAGACACAGTGAAGTGCCTTGGAGGCACCATGCTGCTGCCTTTCATTCGGCTGGACCAGCAGCATTTGGTCTACAGCTCATTTCCCCACTACTGAAGCAAAGCAGCCTGAAGTACTCTAGTCTGTGCCCCAGGAGAGCTAGGTTTCCCGCTCTCCACGGGCACAGCTTCAGGCTGAGAGCTTCACAGGCTGGAGCGAGCTTCAGGAATGGCTTTCCCTTTCCTGTAGTTCTTGCTCTGCCCTGGCGGTTTCCGCACATGCTCGCGCCCATCAGTGCTCCGCTGGAGACCTGCCTGTGAACCCCAGCCACCTGGGCCCTCCAGCTCCCAGCTCCATCCTGTCGGCTCAGGCTTCCTCTACCTTTTCCAGGCCTAGAAGCTCAGGCAGTAAGCTGAGGCAGATGGAGGACTTCCTCTTTACTTTCCCTCCCTTGGGGATCACTGTCCTCAGAGTCTGATGGCCGAGGCCTTGAAAACCATCATTTGGCATATTCTATTTGGTGTTTCCTTTGCTTCAGGTGGGAGGGCAAATCCGGTCCCTGTGACTCCATGGCTGGAAGCAGCAGTTTTTAACCTCTTCATCCTTTATGTGAATGCATATAATTAAGTGAAGGACCATTAAAACGTCACTTGACATTTTTCTCGGTGACCCTTGTTTTTCCTTATCAGAAAGCAGCTCCTCAGCCTGACCTGTGTCACTCACACGTCCTGTCTTGTGGGACCTTCTGGTGCCCACAATTCTCGGATCAGGACCTGATACCCTTGTTGATTCATGTGTGGTTCTCCTTAGAACTGGACTCTAGTGAAGCACGCACCAAAGTGGCCTTCAGTAACGTGATGTCATTTATGTCTCCCAAGAGAGGACTTTTGGGGGGAATTTGTTTCCATTGGGACCTTTGCATTTGCTTCTTGTTTTCTGACCTTTGTTTCCGCCTCCGGGCAGACAGACCGTCACAGGAGCCGGGTGCGGAGCTGGTGCGCCTGCCCTACCGCTTAGTGTTTGCTGTGGCTTCCGAAGACTCGGTGCTCTTGTACGACACCCAGCAGCCGTTCCCTTTTGGCTACGTGTCTAACATACATTACCACACGCTGAGTGACGTTTCCTGGTGAGTGGCCGGTGTTGAGGGTGCAGGCGGCACGGTGTGTGGTGTCCTGGAGTAGACCCTTGAGTCAGGGAGCATTTCAGCACTATGGATGGCTTTTGTGGCCCATGTTTACCAATTTCTTTCTTTCTTTTCTTTTCTTTTTTTTTTTTTTTTTTAAGATTTATTTGAGGGGCACCTGGTTAGCTCAGTTGGTTCAGCATCTGCCTTCAGCTCAGGTCATGATCTCAGGGTCCTGGGATCAAGCCCTGTGTTGGGCTCCCTGCTCAGTGGGGAGAAGCAGGCTCCCCCTGCCCCTCCCCCTGGGCTTGTGTGCTCTATGTCAAATTAAAAAAAAATTTTTTTTAAATATTTATTTGAGAGAATGTGTGCGAGCACAGGTGGGGGGAGTGGCAGAGAGAGAGAGGGAGAATCTCAAGCAGATTCCCTGCTGAGCACGGAGCCTGGTGCAGGCCTTGATCCCAGGACCCTGAGATCGTGACCTGCGCAGAAAGCAAGGGTCACTTAATCTACCCACCCCCCGGGGCCCCCACCAATTTCTTCTGAAAGGAATTAATGTGAGAGGGAAAGGCATTTCTAGTTTGCTAGGATACCACTTCCTATTCTAACAGTAATAGCTAAAGGGTGCCATTCAGAGGCCTCGGGTTTCCTCTGGTTCTCAAGCTGGGAGGTGCCCGCTGGGTTCCCTGGTTGCTGGGGGCTTGCCAGGCGCTCTGGCAGGAAGCCCCCATCCGCGAGCTCCTGCCGTCCAGACCCGTGCCCTTCTGCCGGTGGTCCTCTGTGCCCCTGGATATTCCCTGGTCACCACCTGCTCATGCCCAGCTCCGGCCTGGGCCTGCCCACCCATCCCCTCTTTCTTGTTCTTTGTAACTTTTTCTCTTCCTTTAATTTTCTTCTTATGTTAGTGGAAAAAGGGGCCTCGCACCTTCAATTTGGTGACTTTGAGGACAGTCCCGAGACGTGCCAGTGCCTGAGAAAGTCGAGCTGGGGGCTGGGAAGGAAAGGGTGGGAGTGAGCAGCTCACAAAGCGTGAACTTCCACATTCCAACTAATAAAGAGCCAGAAGATGGGCCCCTGGACTTAGCACTGTTTCTAACCTTTCCTCCTGTTCGGGGAACAAAGGTCCAGCGACGGCGCCTTCCTGGCCATTTCTTCCACCGATGGCTACTGTTCCTTTGTGACATTTGAGAAGGATGAACTTGGAATACCTCTGAAAGAGAAGCCGGTTTTAAGCGTGAGAACTCCCGACACGGCAAAGAAAACCAAGAGTCAGCCGCACCAGGGGTCCTCCCCAGGACCCAGGCTGGCAGAGGGGACCCCCACCAGCAAAGTCCAAGACCCCAGCAGTCCCTGCACGCCCCCGCCTCAGGCAAGACTGCCTCCAGCCCCAGCGGCACCTTCCGAGGAGAAGGCAGCCCTGCAGCCCAGCACTCAGAACCCCAAAGCACCCCCATCCCGGAGGGTCACCCTGAACACACTGCAGGCCTGGAGCAAGACCACACCCCGGTAAGAACTTTGGGTGGAAGAAGAAATCATCGTTGCAATTAAAAAACAAAATAGAAATGGGAAGCCCCCAACCTGTAACGGGACAGACAGGTGCCCCGTCTTGCTGCCAGAGAGATTCGGAAACATGGGACCTGAACGCCAGCTCCCTGCTTATAAGCCCTCTGGTGGGTCCCATTTCCACCTATTGGGCAGGGTCCAGAGCCCTGTGCACCACACACTTCACTCTACCCCCCCTCACCCCCCACCCAGGGCCATTCCCACAGGCCCTGCCTCGCCCTGGGAGCCCTGATCCCTAGCCCAGCCCTGGAGGTCAGGGCCCTTGGCACCCCTGTGCTGTTCCCTTCCGCTGTAAAGCCTCAGCCATCTGTGTTCTTGGTGACACTGGGGTCCTCCTTGAACGTCCCTTTAGCCCTTCTTCTGTCCTAAGATGTCACATTCAGTTGCAGGAGTTTGGTTTGGTTTGGTCTGTTAGATTTAGAGACCCCTTAAGGCAGGAAGCACATCCCCCACCCCCCACCCACATTCTCCTGCCCAGAACCATCTCAAGCACTGAGCAAGAAGTAAGAAACCAGAGTAGCCTCTTGGTTTTTATGACATCCATTGACTGGCTCATGGGAAGTCTGGCCTGATACTGGGCTCCAGGTGACATGGAGACTTCACATCACGGTGGCCTCCGCTGCCAGCACAGCCCTTGTTGGCTGCTGCCACCAACGTTCTTCCCTGAGCTGGAGGGGGTTGGGGGACCTCACCCCACAGACTCTGTTCAGCCCTGTCCCCAGGCCCCCTCCCTGCTAACCCCTGCCCAGCCCTGTCCCCAGGCCCCCTCCCTCCTAAGCCCTGGTCAGCCCTGTCCCCAGTCCTCCTTCCTCCTAACCCTTCTGCTGGACCACCCGAGGAGGTGGCCTGGGGAGGGAGCAGAAGCTGACAGTGCTAGGCTCTTCTGGAATCTGAGTGCTGCAGGTTAGCAACCTTTTTCTTTTGTTGTTGTTGTTTTGGTGGGTGAAGGGAGTGGGAAGGTGTTCTTTGAAATACGGTATGAAGGTTTTTCCTCTTAATTTCTTTTCTTTTTTTCTTAAAGATTTTATTTATTTATTCATGAAAGACAGAGAGAGAGAGAGGCAGAGACACAGGCAGAGGGAGACGCAGGCTCCATGCACAGAGCCCGACATGGGACTCGATCCCAGGTCTCCAGAATCATGCCCTGGGCCGAAGGCAGGTGCTAAACCACTGGGCCACCCAGGCTGCCCCTCCCTCTTAATTTCTTGCAGTCGTCTTGCATCTGTAACTTTAAAATCGAATCTTAATTTTTTGTGTGTGTGTGCCCCACGCATCCTAATTTTCAACAACTATTTGTTTTGGAGCTTTCCATAGTAGGAACCACATCTGCTCGCTGTATAGATGCAGCGTCCATGGCTTTTCAGCATACCACTGGAGATTAAGACAGGTCTTGAAACTTTCATTCATTCATTCATTCATTCATTCATTTATTTATTTATTTTTAAAGATTTTATTTATTTATTCATGAGAATAAACCGCTGCACCACCGGGGCTGCCCCGGTCTTGAAACATTTAGATGGCTAGTTAAGGTTTGACTATTGTAAATGTGATGATTGAACCTAGTACATGAAACATCGTCTTGGGCTGCCAGGTAAGTGGGCACATCAGTACCCTGCATGGTCTGATCAGCTGGAAATTTGAAATGTTTCCTTTGGGTAGTTGTGAAACTTAGTATCCTCATAAATGATTCCTGTGACACTAATGAGCCCTGTACCCCTTTACTTTTTTTTTTTTTTAATCAAGGAGGATAAACTTAATACCCTTAAAGACCGATACTCCACCGAATTCTGTACCAACCAGTGTAGTTTCCACCCCTTCGGCAGAACAAACTCAGTCAGGTGAGTGATACTGTTACTAGTTTAATATACTTAAAGATACAGTATCTTTTTTGTGTTTTTGGAAATGAACTATCTACTCTTAAGTCTGTTCTGAGAAAGCAGGGATGCATCTTACTAGACCCTCATTCAGCCCCTCTGGCTGCCTATGTGCAATCAGCAGGAGGCCACCTTCCCATGCACCTATGGTAAAGGGGTATGGGGGTTCAGGAGGTGCTGTAGGTCAGAGCTCAGCCCCCTGGGCACTGCTGACAACCTGGGCTGCAGAGTTCTTTGTTGTGGGGCTGTCCTGGGATTGTAGGATGGCGGCACCCACTGTCCCCCACCCACCAACTTGGGACATTCTCAAAGGTCACCAGATAGTGCCCACTGTTCCCTGTGAGAGGTGAGATCACCAGGCTGTTCACTTTTTGTCCAAGCACAAAGTTCATTCTGTAAACATCAGTTCTTTTTTTTTAAAAAAAAAAAAAAGGGAATATAAGGGAAGGGAGAAGAAATGTGTGAGAAATATCAGAAAGGGAGACAAAACATAAAGACTTCTAACACTGGGAAATGAACTAGGGGTGGTGGAGGGGGAGGAGGGCGGGGGGTGGGGGTGAATGGGTGACGGGCACTGAGGGGGACACTTGACGGGATGAGCACTGGGTGTTATTCTGTATGTTGGTAAATTGAACACCAATAAAAATTAATTTATATAAAAAATAAATAAATAAATAAATAAATAAAATTATTTTTTGAGGGATGCCTGGGTATCTCAGTGGTTGAGCATCTGCCTCTGGCTCAGGGTGTGATCCTGGGGTTCTGGGATCGAGTCTCGCATCAGGGTCCCCGCAGGGAGCCTGCTTTTCCCTCTTCCTGTGTCTCTGCCTCTCTCATGAATAAATATATAAAATCTTTAAAAAAATATTTATTTGAGAGAGTGTGTGTGCAGTTGGAGGGGCAGAGTGAGACTTAAGCAGACTCCCTCGCTGAACGCAGGGTTTGATCTCACAACCCTGAACTCACAGCCTGAGCCGAAACCAAGAGTCAGACGCTTACCCAGGTGCACCGTCCAGGCGCCCTGTAAACATCAGCTCTTAATTTTAAAGAAGTGTTCGCTTACTTGCCAGCCTGTGTGTGTGTTCACGTTCCAGAGATGCCCGGAGACCCTCGCGGCAACCCTCCGGAGCTCAAGCGGCCTCGACTCCACGAACGCGAAGGCAGTGCCCAAGGGCTGGACCCCTGAGGAGACCCATCTGGGGGCCCCGTGTGCACAGAGAGGGGGGCTGGGCCGGACGCACTGGAGACCAGGGGCGTTAGGTGGAGCCCAACAGACACTCGTGAATTGATCTCTGTAACTAAAGATACGCATGGACCAGGTTTTCTCCAGAACTGTGTTTGCTCTTGCATTCAACATACATTTTTACCTCGGAGATGTGAACATTTTCATGGACTAAATCCTCTTTTTGATGAGTTTCTGAAACGAGCAGTTCAACCTTATTTTGCATGAAGCAGTGACTTCTCCCTTGAAAATACACGGAAGTACAGACAGGTTGCAAGTGGACGCTTCTAAAGCAGGAATAGAAAGAGGAGAACAGTGTCGGAGAAGGTCTATTCTGCTGAATTGACCTTCCCCATAGTCGATTTTTAGGAGTTCTTTTGCTTTCTGATTTTAAAGGTAATAATGCTTGTTCTGGAAAGTTTAGTGAGAATAAGGCAGGAAAACCGGGTCAGGGTGGGCCTCCGCCCTCCTGTTACCATCAGGAGGAGCCTGGTTGCTGTTGGGCATATTTATTTCCTTGACCTTTTTTTTTTTTCCTCTTAGGGAGAGAGAGTTGAGATACAGTTTGGTAACCAAATAGGTTTACTTTTCAGATTGATTTTTCAGAGTAAAAGAACTTTCCGTAGCAATTTCTGTCTGTGCCTTTTCTGTCTCCCTTCCTGTGGGGAGTAAAGCAGCGTCATGGGCCGGGGCGCACACAGGGCAGCTGGCTGCAGGAGGCTCCCACGGGGTCGCGTGCAGCGCCACGGCCGCGGCTGCTGCTCACGGAGAGGGGGTGCCACCGAGGAATGTCGTGATGCTCGATGCCAGTCACTTTGGGATAATGAACACCGTGAGTCCTGCAAGTGAGACCCCCCCCCCCCCCCCGAAGCCTAGATTTCTCTCCAGTCTCGGAGAGATCACAGCTTTCAGGAGCCCTGGTCAGATCCGACGGGAAGTGGCTGAGGAGTGAATGAATGTGCCCCTTTGAACTCTGGGCAGCAACAATGGAAGGAATTGGAAAAAGGATCAATGTGTTGCTCGGTCCATAACCTGGTTAACCAGGAAGAGAGTTTGCCTCCCTTTTAGATGCGAAGGTGTCACACGGGGGTTAATTTACAGTGTAGAGAACTAGAAGGTGAACGGATGCGCAGCCGTGAGGATCCGGGGGTGGGTCACGTTCAGTGTGAAGATACTTTAAAATGTCAGACGGTATCTGTTTTGACCAATGATTCTCAGCCTTCGCTGTCTGCTGAGTCTTGGTGCCTGGGTACCCTCCACCCCCGCCCCCGGAGGGACGGCCTAAGGGGACTGGGGCATGGTCTCCACGTAATTCAGATGCCCAGCCAAGCCTGGGAAATCGTGAGAAGAGCTTTCCCTGCATATGTTGTTTTCTGGTTAAATCACTTCCATGGAAAGCTTTTGCTTGCTTGTTCTCATCATCATCGTGGATTGGCAGCCTGGTAAGGAAGCTCTGGTCTCGGGATCCCTGGGTGGCTCAACGGTTGAGTGTCTGCCTTTGGCCCAGGGTGTGATCCTGGGGTCCTGGGGTCGAGTCCCGCAGCCTGCTTCTCCCTCTGCCTGTGTCTCTGCCTCTCTCTCATGAATAAATTTTTTTAAAAAATCTTAAAAAAAAAAAAAAAAAAAGGAAGCTCTGCTCTCAGCCTGAAAAGATAATGTGTGGGAGATGCCATTGGCTCTTCCAAAAAAAAGATCAATTTAGACGTCCTGCAGCTGGAGCGAGGAGCGTTCTGCGGCCATCGATCGCTGTGCAGAGAGGTGTGATCCTGGGTCCCGCGTTCTCGGTGGGTGAGCCTGCTGTCCTGGCCACGCACCGCACTTGTCTACGCATCGTCTCTTGTGCGCCAATGATGGGGGCAATGGGGAGCCCCTTCAGCCTGGAGTATGCGGTATAGGCATCACTAGTTGTCGGTCAGCTGTCACTGAATATAAATCACGGAATCATCCATAAAAGCCCATGTGATGGGGATGCCCAGGTGGCTCAGCGGTTGAGAGTCTGTCTTCAGCCTGGGGTGTGATCCTGGAGACCCGGGATCGAGTCCCGCATCAGGCTCCCTGCCTGTTTCCCCCTCTGCCTATGTCTCTGCCTTTCTGTGTCTCTCATGAATAAATAAATAAAATCTTAAAAAAAAATAAAGTTAGGGCAGCCCAGGTGGCTCAGCGGTTTAGCGCCGCCTTCAGCCCAGGGCATGACCCTGGAGACCCAGGATCGAGTCCCACGTCGGGCTCCCTGCATGGAGCCTGCTTCTCCCTCTGCCTGTGTCTCTGCCTCTGTCTCTGTCTCTCATGAATAAATAAATCGTTGGGGTAAAAAAAAAAAAAAGCCCAGGCGATGTTACCTCCGGGTCCTGACCTTTTTGAAAAGGTCTGTTTCCATCCGGGTATTTAGTAGGGAAGCCTGTGCAAAAGGAGCCTGGCCTGAGGGCCGGGCGGTATCCCCTCGTGAAATGTCACCGTCAGACTGGCCTCCTCGCCGGGGCCCTGCAGCTGCCTGTTCCTCAGTGCCACCGACTGTCTGGTGGCCCCCTGAGCCCACGCCGTTGTGGAGGAGCCGCCTCCCTCAGGGCGCCCACCAGGGCAAGGGCGCTGCAGCAGGGAGACCAAGCGTGTGCCCCAGGGGGCAGGTCCAGCTGTCACATCCCGTCCCCTCCCTCATTTTTGTCCTGCGGCCACATCTGTGGTCCGAAGCACTCACCCGCACATTCACGGTGCCGTGGATGCTTCTTAGCAACACAGTTGTGTCTATTTTAACAAGTGGGTCCTGAGTCCTTGGTTCTGGAACCTTCCAAGTGGGGAGAGGGGAGGGCAGAGGACGACCGGCCCGGCCCTCCCCCACCCGGAGTCTCAAGAGCCTGCAAGTTCCCTTTGTGACCTCACTGGAGTTCAGAGCACTGCCTCCCCCCTGCTGCGTGGACACCTCTAACGGGGGGATGGACCTGGGACAAATGGCCCCACCTAAGGCAGGGTCCTTACAGCTCCACAAACTTTCACTCTGCCCCCCTGGGCAGGAGAGAGGGTGAGGAGGGAGGCAGGAGGGTACCTGGGGTCAGCCCCCTCTCCCCCCCCCCCCAGGTTGAAGTTAACAGGTACCTGGGCTCCCATTTGGGGCCCCTGGAGGCGCTGTCCCCGCCGATGTGCCCCAGCTCCCGGGCTCCACCTGCCTCGGGTGGGCCAGGTCCCGGCCGGGCTCGGTGCCGACTTGGCCGGAGCGCCCTGGATGCAGGCCTCAGCCCCTGACAGCTGGTCCTGGGGGGGCACAGCTCAACAGATCGGGGCGGGAGACGGTGAAGAAGGTGACACGTGGGAGTCCATCTGTCCAGCCATCCCTCATCTGTCTCCCCAACACCCAGGTAGGTAGCAGAGCAAACGTTAGGGACAAAACACACAAAGCCCCTCCTGGAGCTCGCCATCCGGTCGGGGGAGACCCACAGTCAACCAGAAAGTCCATGTGAGAGGAGAGGACTATGGGAAAGAGCAGAGCTGGGTGGAGCGGCTGCGCATGAAACAGGCCTGGGGTGGGGGGCACAACAGGGTGGGGACGCTCGGCGGGGGAAGGAGCAGGCGAGTCAGGCCTTCCAGCTCCTCCAGCAGCAGGGTCACCTCGGCGCCGGGACCCATGTGCTGCACGGACAGGCTGGGGGTCTCGGGCTCCTCCTGGAGCCCTGGGGATGGGGTTCGGGTGGCCCGGCCCAGAGGGGGACAGGACCCCTGGCCCGCTTGTCACAGGGGAGGTGCCAGCTGTGTTCCAGGGGGTCTCTGACTCCAGCTCCAGGCCAGAGCCACATGTCACGCAGCCTCGTCTTCCACTTCCTGCTTTTCAGCCCATCCTGGGCCCTTGGGACAAAAAGTTGTCAGAGCTGGTGGCCGGGGAAGGTGCTTCCTTCGGCTCGGCCGCTGCCCCCAAGTCCTGCCTTCCTCAGCGCAAACAAGGGCAGCTCGGGGAGCGGAATACTCCACCCCTACCTGAGTCCTGGTTTATTCCCTTAGAGCTTATTTTTTTTTAAGATTTTATCTATTTATTCATGAGAGACACAGAGAGAGAGGCAGAGACACAGGCAGAGGGAGGAGCAGGCTCCATGCAGGGAGCCCGACCTGGACTCGATCCTGGGTCCCCAGGATCCCACCCCGGGCCGAAGGCAGTGCTAAACCGCTGGGCCCCCGGGCTGCCCTCCCTTAGAGTTTAGCTCAGAGACCCTGGGAAGCCGGAGTTCTTGCCCCTTTGAAAGCCGTGGTAGCAGGTGCTTAGTAGCAGTTGTGTGGGGGACGAGCCCCTGGCCTCATGTCTTAATACCCCACAGGACCTGATGTCCCCTCCTGTCATTGCACGGGGGCTGGGAAGGGCATTTCTAGTGTCAGATCATGACTTTGAAGCACATCGGGTCGCCCTGCCCTGGGTCAGGTCCCTGGAGGAAGGCATGCTCGGCAGCATGTCGGTGCCCGCAGCAGCCCCCTCAGACCTTCTTTCCCCTACAAGGTCCCTCTTCTGGCCCCATCCCCGCCAAGGTCAAGGACCTGCCACCACCAGCGCTTCCCGGCCCTGCACCGGGGCACCTGTGGGGCTTTACAAAACCAAACCAAACTGACTCAAACCGAGGCTTTGTCCAGATCCCAGAATCGGCTTCTGCAGGTTGGGGAGACACCCAGGCAGCCACTTGCATTTTTAAAAACTGGGGAGATGCAACGGGTGGTGAGAGCTACGGTGGGGAGGCCTGTGACATCTGAGACGCCCAGGGAAGGGCAGTGGAGACTCTTTGAACTCAAGAATTTTTATAAAGAAACTATGGGTTCAGCTATTCAACTGGAGGCCAAAGCTTAAAGAAGACTTTGCCACCTGACTCCAGCGTCACCTGCTTCTACCAAAGGTCACAGGAACGCGCTGATGCCATTGAAGCCACCTCCAAGCTAGCGGGCCACAGGGCTGCCCGGCTCATTTTGAACAGGGGTCCATGAATTTGGGTTCCTAATGACAGTACTTGAACATGCCACGGGGGGGCGATATTGCTAGTGCTTCTCTCCACTGTCAAATGTAGACACTAATGCGTTTTTATTTTTAGATGTTTAAAAATTTATCTATTCATCAGAGACACAGAGAAAGGCAGAGACACAGGCAGAGGGAGAAGCAGGCTCCCTGCAGGGATCCCTGATGTGGGGACTCGGTCCCAGGACCCTGGGATCATGACCTGAGCCAAAGGCAGATGCTCAACCCCTGAGCCACCCAGGTGCCCTGGAACTAATGTATTTTTAATGAAAAGATTTTAAATCCCATTGTTATAGAATATTATCTATTGCAATTCATTTTTCATGCTTATTACTTTCTATTTAATTACATGCTATTTTGTTATTGCAAAGAGTTCTATAAACCCACATCATATACTGCATCGGAGCGCCCCCACCCCACTGTGAGAACTTCATATACAAATAGCTAGATTTAAAAGGTGTTTATGTTAAATGCAGCCACAAGTATAATGAGCTTGAAGAAGCTAAGCTTAAAAGGTTCCTTTTTAAAATTTTTTAAGCCAAAAAAAAATACTGTCTTGGTGACATTTTTCTACATTAGCAACAAACCTAATATCCACTGTGCCTTACAACTATACAAAGATGCATGCACATGGAGTTTTTGCA